GACATTGTGAATGTCCAAGTTTTTACGCGCATTTTTGTAAGTACAGTTCACGTGTGAATTTTATCGGTTGATCAAACATTTTTCTGTAGGATCTGCTCACGTTTGTGCGAACTCAGAAAATAGTCTATGGATTGGGTGTTAGGACCGTATTGGCTGAAGGTTTTACTGATATGACACGTAATAATTATTGTTGAACATGCGAGGATGAGAAATTATCTGATATTTCGGTGCTTCCAGATGCTAGATTGCGTAATCGTGGTACCATGCGAAACTTGATGGACTCATTTTTTTGCTTTCTTTTCGAAACATCATCTCCCATAATTGAAATTTCAACATCGTAACGTAAATTTTTTTTATCGAGAGAACGATGCTGAGAATTAAAGTTTTCAATGCCGACGTGCAGAAGCCTGCTTTTTAAAGGTGGACTCTCTTTAAGACGAAATTCCAGGGACCAGAAGAACATTTTCAGTAGAGAACCGCTAACAGTTCACATGGGGAGAGAACACTATGGAACCAAAAAATTGTTATTTAGAACATTCAACATAGTTTTGGACAAGATCGTCGTAGAGAGATTGCCCTTGTCTTGCGCATATATGACTTGATGCTCATTAAAAATTCACCTGCAACGTTTCCACCGCACAGTAAATTTGTGGACGCTGTATTTTTTGATGAGATTTTTATTATTATTTTTTTCTTTTTTGTGTCCCTGTTCGATACAAATTCCTCGCGGGTGCCACACATTCCACTTCTACACATGTGCGAGGCATCCACCGTGTGTCAGCGACGTCGAACCATGCTATGCAGCTTGGGGTTTGTTTGCTCTCGTCACGACGGTATTTTAATCTACTCTGCTGTGGTGCTTTCGGAAGAACATTCGCTCTGCATTGCTCGTCGTTCGTTCGGCGACCTCACCATTTGTACAGCAATACGTGCTGGAATGTCCGTGTAGGTTTATTCCCGAATAAAATTCATTTTTTTCCTTTTCTGTGGGTTTTTTCCTTGGAAGTCCTTTGGATGGTGAACGACATCGTTCTGATCGAAATGGTGTCCACGTTTACACTGTGTCGGACTTGGGTTATAAACATTGTCTCCTGTCTCTGTTGCGAGGACTGAGTCGGGTTTCACCACTTCTTGCGTGAATCCATTTTATTTTAAAGTTTAATCATGACTGTTTGCATAATAATTTTATAATTTATTACAGCAAATCAATTAAAATATCGTATAATGAATATAGTATAAGAGGGACTGCTTGATTGAAAATAAAAGGCAATGAAGCTGCGTCTACGTCTCAATGATTCCCTGCCTTATATTTTCTGCCAAAATTCGATATTCAAGTATCATAAAACTTTTTCAGTTTATGATTCAAGAATAAACATGGTTCGTGGAAGCGGGTCACTAAAGGCACCTTCAAGGGAATTCCGTCTCTACCGATCGCATCTTTCCTTGTACGATGCACTGCCAACAATTTTTCAAGTGATACCTGGAAGTGGGGTTAAAACCTGGTTAATCGGCTTGCCCATTGACATTCTCGCGGAGTTTCGCATGATGACTTCAGAAGCATGAGATGAGGAGTTCGCTCGCTAAAAATGCTTGTGATTGTGCACGCGTTGTGCATGTGATTTTTCATTTCTTGTGTGTCGATTGATATTCATGCTATGGTTTCCAAACCGTGTACAGTTACAGAGTTTTAGATGCTGACTTTTTTTTTAATTCTGAAGGTTTCCTTCTATTGTATAAGAAATGCCTGTGATTAGCACACGTTTGGTACGTAATTTAATTTTTGCGTGTTTCCTTTCAATGATGAGTTTGTGAAATTCTGGCTTTCATTACTGGAATTTTGCTTGGTGGTCAAGCGTATGCCGTACTATTCTTCGGGAACGCACATTCGTTTCCTTTTTCGTTGCCCTGCGGTTGTTGAAATGTTGATCTTCGCCCGAGACGGATTTTTCACAATCACGGTTGTCAACAAGATGGAAGACGCCCGGGCGAATGGCAGGTTGTCAGGTGCATCATCGTTAACCTGGATCTCAACGTTTCGACGTCATTCTGATGCAACATGTGCCCCTTCAAGTGTTCAGAAGAAAGAAATCTCTCTGATCTTGGAACAAATTCCGTTAATCCAAATAGATATGGAATTAACGAATCTTGGCTTCTCGTCTGTGAAAGATATTTGCTCGTTTACCGCGTGAACATTATTCGCTCTAGACTTGAAAAATGTAATAAAAAATCTTTTGCGTGTCATTCCGCAAATGCGTTCTGGGCCTTCCATGAACATGCTTGCAAAATTTGTGCACGAAAGATGCCATGAGCGTGTTACATACACAGTCTTCCTTGCGTTTTGCCACGAATGTTGCTGTCCAAGGTAAACCTGTTGCTGCTGAGCGGGCCGACTTAGTAACAGTAGGTGACGATTAAAAAAATGTTGTCTTTCAAATATTGCAGTTTTAGTATATAAAGTAAGGCGTGAATCTTACTGGGGATACAATTTCATCAACAAGTTTGACTGAAAACCTCTGGTGCATGCCTTGCTTCAGGGCGTGTAGCACTTGAGTAAATACGGTATGAGTTGGTTACACCTTCTCGAAAAGTTCTTCACTTGTGTCATGAATTCTTGAAATCTTGAATTATTTTTAGAAGTTTTGAAAAATAAAATTACTGCGATAATTCAGTCATGCCTCACACATTGATTCCACTGTTGTCACGATGTGATGCACAAACTTCAAGATTCACGAAGCAGTTCATGAGTTATTTTTTTTATTCACATTAAAATGCCCACAGCAGCACACTGAGTCGAACGTGCTGAAACTTGTAATTGTCCTTACTAAACGAGCTTTTCAAATCATTGCTCTGCATCTGCGACTGTTTTTCCTTGGCAGCAGCTCTCATGATACTTCTTGATCGCCCCTCGTGGGGGAAAATGCCAAAGGAGCCAGTTGAGACCGAGTTTTTCTCATACCCTTATACAAAACGCTTTCGCAAGTGGTCTTTGAATATTATAATTAGCATCGAGTACTTGCTGAGCTGGCTTCGAAGCTTACTGGGCCAGCGGAGTCCCGTATCCTTGAAAGTCTGTTGCTTCGTGAAATTCGAAACTTTCGTTACCGAGAGTGTGAGGATTTCTTTCCTTCGGTTTACTTGCACCAAATGACCTCACGTTACCTCAAATCACACCCTGTGTGTGTGTGTTCATGTACCAGTCGGGGCGGGAATTGGGGGCCCGTCTGCGCCGGGGCGTACGTCCCGTCCCAACGCGTTCCCTGTGGATTCGGGTTTTTGCGACACGCCGGGGACTGATGAGCGGGACCCCGCGTGACCCCGCACGGAGGCCACCCTGATTTCCGCGCGAGCGGTTTCTTCATCCTGGCCACTTTTATCACGCCTCGGGGCTGCTGATTATCTCTTTTCTGTTCCAAACAAAGCCTTGATTTCCCTTGCTTGGAGATGATAGCTATTTGGAGACAGGGACGCGCTTGAAACCTCCTTGACTTCCATGTTTCGGTTTCATGAAGGCGAACCTCTTCAAGTCGAACTTCAAGGGACCAGCAAGGAAATTCGAGTTTCGGAAGCGAGCATTCTTAATATGTGCAAATAAGGAAGCAATTACGGGATATTGTAGTTGGTGATATTCTGGGCCTTGAATTGCTCTTTAAATGAGCTGCCAGGATGGTGAACTTGGAGAAATTTATGTTACCGATTAGTCTTTAACTTCTTTTCAAAACAGATCTACAGTTGTTCCATTTTTATTGCTTTTCTCTTTTCTGTGTCAATAAAATAATAGCCAAAAGGCTTCCTGAAAATTCAAGTTGAGGAGGTTTGAGTGGGAAAGTTTTTGAGTTAGGGAGGATTTTAATGGATCGTTTCGAAGGGAATTCATACCAGGACTTTGAAAAATTTGGCATATGGGATATTCGACTAGTGGAGGTTCGAGTTATCGAGGTTTAACTTTTAGATTTTTCCACCAGGAAACCATGACAGGTTTGTTCCCCGAGAATATGTACCCATTGAAGCTGTCCCATTCTACGGGACAATCGAAATCGGGCGCGAATCTACATAATTTAATAGAACCAAACTTCGCAGGAAACTTACAGGAGTAATGTATAACTAAACTCTTCTTTTTAAATCAAACTAACGTAAGACCTGAGTAAGTGAATGAAACGTCCAGCTCACGAATTTGCCCCTGACTAACCTGAACTAGCTCCTATGATAATTCTGTGGTCATGATGATACCTTCCATATGAGTTTTCAATGTAGACGATATTTTACAGTGTACGAATTATGAAGGAATACATTATCAGCTTTTACGATTTTCTCCTATGCGTTGCACTTTTGAATGAAAAAAATAGCTGAAATTTACTCCTTACCATCATCCGCAGAAACTGTAGCTGTTATGAAGAGAATCTTTTGAAATTTATTCGCGCGTGTTAGTACAGTATATTGCCCTCGGCTTATTTTGACGTGAAAACGGAAAAATCACTGTTGATACAGATATTTAATGTGAAAGTCTTTTTTGCGGGCAGAATCCATTTAAACTGGCTTTTTTGGATGAGGAAACTCAGATTTTCTCCTCTGTGTGATCAGCTTATGCGTGCATCAATGCACGCCTAGCTTTGGTGTGGATTGCTGATGGAATTTCGGACAAAGCACTGGATATATGTTTTCCTTCTTCGTCTCGTGAACTGAGAAAAAATGAAAACATCAAGACCCTCCGAGGTTGTCTTAAGGCCGACGCTTTATTCCTTGAGCGTAATTGACGTTCGTGACAATTCGTGGGTCGTGACAGCGGGAGGCCAGGGATGAGATTTTGCAATCATCTTATTCACTGTCTGATGCGTGTTTCATTGTCGGTCGTGTAATCGCTTGATGGCCGTGATTCCGACGCTGCGTGGCTCCAGAATTGCCGAAAAAACAATTCCGCGTTGTTCGTACTGCCCCGCATAAGGTACAGTAATTCGACGTTTAGTTGTTGCCATGCTTTGCCAGTCCTCAATTTTCTACTTGGCATGTATCGTGACCCGAAATGGGAATGTTGCGTCGTCAACATTCTCGACGTGAAGGAAGAAACTCGTGCGCTTGAGATGCGTTTCCGCTTCAACGGGTATCATTGCTGGCCGCGGGTTTTGCATAAACATCATCTTCGCCCTTGATTACGGCTTCTTGGTGAATTCACTTTCACTCTAGGAAATGGGCGAAAAAAGCGAGAAAAAAAATGCACAGAAGCTTTCACGACTTTCGAGGGCCTCATGGTGAAAGCTGGAATGGCGGTAATTGCCGAATTGATGGAAATTACTTCAACTTGTTCTTGAGTGAATCAAGATTTTCACTTTTTTTTCGCTTGCGTTGGAGTTACTCTTCGGGCCACTTCTGCGATCTTAGAGCAGCGACTGTGCGTATCAGCAACTCCGAATTAGATGTTTGTCTGAATTTCGCTCGAAGTCAGGAAAAAAATATAAGCCCATTATTTTCATAATTTTCGCAACTTTCTTTTTAATAGATTTACTTTTTTAAACCTTTGTAGAAGATTCGGGCTACGGTTCTATGCAATAAGGCTTTGTAGGAGAGGATCAGAAAAACCGAAAATAAATGCTCACCGTTCCATGTTCATCGTGGTGTTCAGAAAAATATGGTTTAGATTTTTCTTTATACCGAAGGAGCCGAACCGAACTGAACCCCTCCTCGATGATGTCAATATTTGTTATGAAATTGGTTCTGAAAGAATAGGTCCCACCGGAAAGGGACCCGACTGGGGACGGAGTAGTGAAGGGACCCGCGAAAAAAAGTCCCCACGGGTTAGGCGGGTCCACAGGAGCAATGGATAACGGAGTGATAGTCAGTTTCAGAACTTATATTTACAGGAGGCAAAATCACCATTGTTCCCTGATGAGTGTTCATTTTCATTTAACTTATCTTAGTCATTTTCTAATTTTTTTCAAAGCAGCACTAGTAACAGGAACACAACATTCGAACCGAAATTTCCAAGGGATGCAATCTTACCAACCAACATTTCTTTTAAAAATATGAGGCTTTTCTGATGCCTGTGTAAGTGAGAGTTAAAAAAAAAGCTATTTCCAAATACTGTATATGAATATTTCTTTGACAAAAGGATATAAACTTAGATGTTTTCAAAAAGAAAAAATGCTTTGAAAAACAGATGAAATGAGCTTCCATTTTTAAATAGGTTACCGTATTTAAAAATAATGATAGAAATTTTAATACTTCGCAGTCTGGCAAAAGCTAAAATGTGAAAAATTTTGGTCTGCATTTGCCATGCAAACTGAAAAATGACTTTCTCTAGGACAATTGAGAGAATCAAAAGAATGGCAAACTGAGTACATTTAAAACAAAATGACAAGAAATAACCAAGGGAGTTCAGCCCAGCTGATGGAGTACTGTACTCGTATATCCTGCCTAGGTAAGGCATGCATCTACCGGGTTCGCAGCACCTCTTTTCTCCCGGGTCCCTTTTCGTTGAGGTCTTATCCTCCCAGATATTTAAAATTATTTGTGTGAAGCGCATCATGAAAAATGATTAACCATGAAATGCGTCAGTGCGGTCAAATCTGGCATTTATTCCCAGGGTTCCGCAAAGAAGGATTATGCGGAAAGTGCAGATGGCTTCCGTTGGATGTGTATGATGGCTGTGTTTCCATCACGGTATCAACGCCGCTGCTTCATTACTTCCCAGGTCATTTTGCTATGGTTAACAGCCGACTACGAAAAACGTGGGAACAGCGCGCTTCAACACGCAGGGTCCAAAAGATGACGGCGATGATGATGATGATGACCTGTTAATGACTGGCTTTTTGCGGTGCTGGGGGAAAACGTTGGTTGCTACACGACTGGGCCGGTTCCGTTCGGCTTTTCCGCGAGTTTTTCTCTTTTTTGGGCGTAGAGACGATGGAGAATAGGAAAAGCCTAACATGATATGAGATAATCCGGGAACGTTAATAACTGCGTGGGTGGGTAAGGTGGAGGAGGGTATGTTCTAACCACGGTTGGGGGGATCGCGGACTTGCCGCATTCATCCGAGGTAGTTATCCAGCGTTGGGAAATTCCGCGTTTGCGCGATGTTCTCGTGTGGGCGCAGATCGTATAGGAGCGAGTCTCAAAAGAGCGCGTATCATAAATGCAAAATTCTCGAAAGTTTAGGTTCATTAAGTCAAGTTATCTCCTCATTTAATCAAGTATCAAGCGCCCTCGAGTAGGACGCGCGTCTGATTTTCTCATCCTCGAATTGGCATAAAAACCTATCCCCGAGTAAGAAGCGCGTGATGATGGATAATGATGAAATCGATGTGAACTTTAAAAAAATAATCCTGACGCTGGTATTGCTCAGAAAAAATTTTTTTTGCGCTTACGGATCACTTCGCCGTTTTTCATCGCCGCGATTTCGTGAAAAATTTCGCCGACTGTAACTGATTTTAAAAACGAAACATACTTTATTTTTCGAGGAAATCAAATGTATCACAAAACGCTAATACCGGAAGTGTTGAGAAACATTTCAGAAGACGGAATTACTTAAGATTGTCCAGATCTCACCACGGGATCATCGCTCGTCAGAAGTGAATTACAGTACCGTGTTTCAGTTTTTTTTGCATGAAAGGTTTCATGTTTATGAGGTACTGTCGAAGTGGAGTTGTCGAAAAGTGGAAGACATTTCAAGACTCCCGAATGAGATTCTGTACTACACTTGATAATCTACTCATCCTAATATTTTTAAAGAGCGTCGACTTCCAACTATTTTTCTGCTTGGTCGAAATCGGTAGAAATTCGTGGAATTCGATGCGTCGAGCAGGAGGTTTTCTTGCAAAATCGTTTTCTTTCGATTGGAATTTCCGTGCTTTTAAAACTCGTCGGTTTTGTCGAAGCGCATTTTCTGCGGATGTTGTTCATGAAGAATTGAGGCGAAAAAATAATTTGAGAATGCTGTATGCTTTTTGCTTGGGAAAAATGACGATTCAATCGGTATTTGAGTCTCTAACTTCCCTTTCCTATGTGCAAATCGAGTTTTGGGTCGTGGCCTAGCCACTTGTCGGTGTTATCCGAAGAATTCCGTCTTCACTGCCACATTGTTCGCTAGAAAGAAATGCGAAGTTTTCCGTGACAAGCGGTATTCACGGTGTGGGTTGTGATGAAGATCGCATGCTCGTTTAAGTCCTGAAACCCGTTTGCTGCGAGTACAGTACTTCGAAGCAAGGAATGCGGGTTGATCGTTCGTTGGTGACGCGGATTAATGTCGGCTTGCCATACAACTTATCCAGAGGATTACTAAAATGATCTAACCGATGTTTCATTCGCCTCGTTACGATCAACATTGTTTTCTTAAGGGTGTTGCCGTTGATGCCCTGCAGCGGCATTTTTTTGGCGGTGGAATTCCGTCCAAATCGTTCGCCATTTCTCGGGTAAGTTGCACAATGTGAGTTCGGAACGTATAGATTCACTGAACGTTTCTCCAAGCCGTGGGAAAGCTTGTGATGGCTGAGATTTTTGAGCATTTTGGAAAAGGAATAGTTGCGTAACTGCAGAATCGGAAAAGCTTGCAATTGAAATGCAGGTGAACTCTGTCCGAAAATTTTGTCTACGACTATTTCTCTGTACAACAATTTTCTCTGAATAGCGTTCTCTGTATAACGATTTTCTCTGTATACAAATTTTTTTTTGGATGCATAGGTGTCTTTAAGCATGCCGTAGAGGTTCTCTACAACGATTTTTTTCCTGGCCCCCTACATCTTATGTTACAGAGCCCAAGCTTGGTAAATCACCACGAAAGTTTTCACCTGTTCGGGATTTAAAAAAAAAAAAGCACAAAGCGAAGGGGTTACGAGAAATAGAAAGGTCGGGACCATCTGGATGTTCGAAGAAAAATTGCATAAAGGTCTGATGCTCAGGAACTGTTTTGTATCTGGGAAAATTATTTTGCGCAAGCCTGCGTTTGTTCTGGAACGCGATCAAAGTTTCTTATCACGTTTTAGGCTGACTGGGATGAAACTGGTTCACGATACGGAAAGATGCAGAGGTCTGGTCCTGGATTCCTTTCCGAAAATACGTGACAGCTAATCGGTGACGGTGGAATATTTAACTCGGTCGTGCGTTTCAATTGGGACCCAGTCGGCATAGGATGCACGGCTTATGCAGTACACGCTGGCAATCTACCCGATTTATTTATGCGTCTTACCCTGTTGGGTCCAACGGGCTTCCACCTGCTCGGCGGGTTGATTTTCCAATCTGGAGGCTATTTGATTACAGTATTCGTACCTCCTGGCTTTAGGCAGGAATATTTCCTCAATTTCCGGTTACTTGACTGCAGCCCGGCTCGGCGCTTGAACGCAATTTCCGGTCCTCCGTCGTGCGTTGTTGGTTTCTGTTCAAATTTCGAATTTGAAAATATGGGTTCCTGAACTACTGCGGAAAATGGTGCAATTTTTTTTCTTTCGAGTGTTGTGAAACGTGCTCCAATTGATGCTCCTGTTTTTTTAAGTAGATTAATTAAAGTACAGTACTGTATATTCGACGTTTTTCACCATCTATTGAGTCAACGCCGAAAATGAATGTGTTATTCTTCTGGACCAAGAGTTTCTCGACATTCCTGACTTACGTACAATGTCATTCTTCACAAGTGAATTTATCTGGCGAAGCTGCTTAGTGCAAATATTGACACACAGTCATAGACGAAGTTGCATTTTCATGTACTGTAATTGTGAGCCCTAATTCATGAGCCTTTGTGCGGGTTATACTGTACTTTCATGTGACAATGTTGACTGATTCTGTGGGGAAATATTTTGAAGTTCGGAATGTGCATGGAAGTGATGATCAACATCCTTTGCTTTTTCTTTGCCCGTTTAAAAGATTGTGGAAAAACCAGGAAACTCTCAGATCTTGAGTTGAGTTTTTCTTATGAAGCAATTAAATATGAGTATTTCGAGCAGAGATAGTCAATCGACAATGTTGATCTGGATTCGCCAAGAATGGACGTAAAATGTTTTCAATCCGCTGTAATTAACCTTAAAAAATCCCGTGATTTGTTGCCCAAAAGAGCTGAAATAGCGCAGATTTTCGGAATGGATTGTTTTTATATTGTTGTATTCCGTGTGAAATTTGGGAAATTCCCGCCCCCGAGAAAAGCTGTCTCCAACGCTTGGTTGCATTCAATATTCTATCCTTTTTTTGTTTCTTCTGGAAAATCGTGAACTTCTGCCAGGGCCCTTGTATCTCGCCTTTCTCGTCATGGATCGATGCGTTTGTCACCACGCGGAAGCTTGGGTGCCCCGCAGGATGCGATGAGGCTATTTTGATCTGCGTGGGACGATTCTCTTTTTTTATTTTTCTCCGTATTGCTGATACCGAGATTTTGAACCCGTTTGACAGCCAATGGGTTCAGTTCCGTGGAATGTGCTGTATTGAATTTTCTATGAGAGTTCTTCGAATTTTTCTCTGTTCTCGGCGCTTGTGTAGGACGATTTTGCTCTAAATGTTTGCAGTGACGTTGAAGTTCCTGTTCGTTTAGTTTGGCTGATTATGAATCAAGTGTTCAGTTGGCCAGTTAGATGCTGCAGTGGGTTTGTCATTGTTGGTTTTTGTTTTAGGTCAATTGTGTGGGTTTGGTGAGCTTAGTTCCCATGGTTTAAAAGTTGGCATGTCAAAAATATGGTACTGTACTCTACTTGAGCTACACAAATTTTGGGCACTGCGGCCAAGGGACACATTGCAGAGGTGAAGAGTTTTCGCGGGCCACATGAGACAGATTTATATGTTCCGAATGTTCCCATTTTAAAGGAACAGTAGCAGTTTCAACTTTATTTCAGTGCTTTGGATAGAATCACAAGCATGGCTTTGTACAAATTTTCAAGGATGGGTCACCAATTTTAAATTTTTGAATTCATCTTTAAATAAATATGTTGAATATTGTTAGATACAGTACTTTGAAAAATGTATGGAGTGTACCGCTGAACAGACGAAGAGTCTCCGCGGGCCGTATGTTCAGCAGCTCTCGCCTATCCAAAGAACTTTGCTTATTTTTTATTTTAAGTATTTTATGCAGTCTTTTTGCTATTTCGCAAGACGTCTTCGATTGTTCAGCTTGTAAAAGTCAATGCTGTCGTCGGTTTTAATGCATTTCGGATTCCCGAAAAAACTCAGAATGATTTCAGTGCCAAGGTTCGTGACTCCGGAGCGTGGTTGTTTTTCGCTTGGCACTTTCCGGTCCGTCGCGCGTGAAATACGGACCGAAATCTGGTTGCAGCGAACCTCGTATCGAAAGAAAAACGTTTGCCCAGATACGCTTTTTAAAATTCCGAACGCGGGGTTTCCGCGTTGCCGCTTTATTTATTCATTTATTTTCTTTTTTTCTCGCTTGTATTGCATTACGTTACATTCCATTCATTTCTCCGTCTCTCTTTCCATTGCCTTTTCTCACACTCTTGGCGTCTTCAAGATGATCTTGATTTTCAAACGAGTCGCGCATCGTGAGCAATTTTATATCCGTCCTTGACAGTTTTTATGACCTCTGCCGCGGTTTTCAATTTAATGGGGGTTTAGAATGAAATGCGACGGTCCAGTATTGCATCTAGTTTTCATATTCTTTGAATCACTAGCATCCTGCTTCACGCAGGTTGAGGTTAAAAGTGAGACGTTCCTTACGTCGTCTTTCCACGATTTATATCGCCAGCGATTCTTAGATGATTCAATCGAGCGGATTATTCGAGTTATGATTTGAATACCACTCTTCAAAATTCTTGGGAAAGAAGGACAGTTGCGCAGAATCCAGCTTTGCAGAGAGGAGGGAGAAAAAAAAACTGGAAAGAATATCAGTGGTCCCCAAACATTTTCGGGTCCGCGGACCGGCAAACTTCCATGCAATCTTTTTGCGGACTGGCAACTTTCCAAAACATTTTCTGCTAACCGGCGAAGTTTGATGATATTTTTGCAGCTTAAAATGTTTTGTTTAAAAGACTTTATGACAGGTATTTAAAATTTTCTATTTTTATGTTGTTGCAAAATTCGACTTGAGAACCAATGAAGCAGTTATGGGGAAATCTCTCCAAAAAATCGGAAGTGCTTCTCATAATGAAAACTCAAAATCAATTATTTTAGCAGGTGCAAATTTGTCAGGTGTCTTAATAAGCCTTTTTATATCTTGCATCAGATAATTCCCACTGTCATTGTCTTTCTGAAATTTCAGGTAAAGATAACAGTATGTCTACTTTTGATGAATTCAGTGTGCTGAAGAAAATTCCGCGCGGACCGGCAAAACAATTCTGCGGACCGGCGCTGGTCTGTGGACACCACTGGACTAGATAATTTTTTCTATCCCGTCTGTCGTTAGCATTCTTGGAGTCGATAACTTTTTTTTGGGGGGGGGGGGGGGGTTGTAGGCTCAACATAGTCAGGAAGAAACTAGCCGTAACTAACGAATTGCGGGCGAGTCTTAATAACCGAAACCGTCTCGACCCTCCGAGGGTAAAATGGATGAAATGAACACGTTGTCAGGAGGGAAAAGAACCAAGGAAGGCCACACACAATGCACGTGTTGTGTGATGCATGTGTGTTTGGGGGGGAAAAAAGGGAAGCGAACCGTCGCACTCAAGTAGGGCCGCCACTTGTACTCGCAGTCGATTGTCGTCGCTGCGTCGTTGGCGGCGAAGAAGACTAGAGCCCTTCGCTTCATCATCATCAGTGTCACCGCCGTATCGGCCTCGAGTCGAGAAGACGAATGGAAATCTCCGCCGCGGAGAGCAATCTCGGCCGTGCGGCTGGTGATCCGTGGATCCGAACCGCGATTGCTGCAACCGATCGGCCTTTTATTTTATTTTTTTATGACTCTGCACTTACCTGATGAGTTATCCATTTTCCCGAGTTCGTCTTTCGAGAGATTTTCTCTTCTTTTTTTTTTTTCAAATGCTGTTGAACTTCAGAGTCGAACTTCAAGCGACCAGCAAATAAATTCGAGTTGGGGAGGTTTTGAGTCAGTATGGAACTCTGTACGCAACGGTTACTGCTTCTGGTACGCATGGGTTGGAGTGTAAGTACAGTCGAACCTTTTCAAGTCGAACTTCAGGGGGCCTGAAAAAATTGAATTGGAGATGTTTCAATTTTTGGGAAACAAGCATTTTGTTGGGGGAGAGAACGAAGAATTACTGGGAATTGTAATTGGTTCGACTCCGGGCCTTAAATTCTTTATTGAATTTGTTGGCAGGAAGCTGAAGTTGAAGGCAAGGGTTTATATGTCCAACTGGTCTTTCATTTCCTTTCAAAACACGTAAGGTTACATTTTTATTGCGTTTCTGTGTCCTGTATAAATGAAATAATAGCGAAAAGACTCACCTCGTGTTTTTCATCCCTCTAAAAGGGAAACTAATTTTGCCTGCAGTTTGAAGATCACGTTCCAATTCTTGAGCGTTGAAGGCGCCCGTTGATTGCAATTTTCCAGATAGTAATCTGATCTCATGGACATTTCCAAAGATCTGAGCATTATGACTATTTTGGTATAAAAGTTAGTTTTGTTCTCCTATACCTGTTCAGAAATTATAGAGATTTTCTAAGAAAAAGCTGATGAGAAGCAATCGTGTACAGTACTGTACCTCACCAGCAAATCTACGACGTTATCGAATATACGAAGCAACCTTATTTAGTGTAAACGATTTTCTGCCTCGTATTCGAGTAAATTCGGTTTACGTGGACAGGACAGGAAAGGTTACCTATAATCCTTTTTTATATGAACTAGCGGGCTTGAAACCAAAAGGAGACTTGAAGGTAACTTCGTAATTCTTTCCCCGAGGACTTCCCGAATAGAGGACTATATTTTCTGCCTTTTGTCAGGGGAATAAAAAAATTACTTGGCCTCTAATGCAGGAAAAATCTTTCTGTGTTGAATAAAGCGTGTAGTACTGTACGAAAATGGAAGGCGTGGATAGTCCGAACTTCGTCTATTGTATGGAGTATCGGAGGTCAGGGATGTGCTTGTTCATTGTGAGGTTTCTTTTCCAACTTGAAATTGGAACAATTTGTACGTATGCTGTTTTACCTGACATCTGATCGAGAGCTTACTTGGGATTTTCGGCTTTTACAATCAGTTGATTTTCTTTTTAAATTTGTATGCGAGTGTAAATTTCTTGATTCGTTACGAGTAATTTTTCTCTAGAGCAGCATTTTTGGGTGCCTTTGAGTTCTGGGCCAGTCTCTCGATGAGGAGAATGTTTTTTTCTGTGGTTCAGTAGCCGAGAAAAAAATTTTTTTTAATGAGGAGAACCACCGTGGAACGTGGATGCAACATAGCTGCTGAAAGCACGTTTGATTATCCTGCGTGATACTTCATAAATCGGTTCCTCGCCTTCTCCCCAACATTAGTTGTGGGTTGATGGACCCGGTCTTCATTCATCAACTTTCTAGTTGGTGGGATCATTGCGCTCTTTTCATATCTCACCAAAAGAACTTTCACTGTATCTTGGTTTATCTGCGGACGGGAATTTCCTGCCGAGATTGCCTGTGTGCGGCGAACGAGCTCGTAAAATACTGACACCTTCTTTTTCCGGCCCCGTCAAGGAAAGGTACGTTTAGGACGTTTTGGGCCAAGACTCATAATCTGGGAAAAAGTGCAGAAGAAAAAAAAAATCTTGGTGCGCATCGCGCCCGCGAAATTTATCGCGTAATCGTGACTGGATTACCTTCCGAGTTCTTGTCAAGTTTTTATTCACTTTTGAGTCGGTATGGAAACTTCAGACTGTTCTGGAAAGTGAGCAGCTGAATCTTCGTTTCGGTTTGGCAAGGCAAGGATGTGCTTCGTGACGGGGTGAACTCCGAATGAAGGTTTGCGATTATTTATAATTTTTGGTTAACTTTGGCGAGAGATTATATGAAAATGACAGGTAAACTATGCGTTTCGTAAGAAGTCAGAGCTGCTGACAGATCGCGTGCTGCTTTGTTATTTGGTCGCATTCTTTTGAAGAGGTCAAAACGTGAAGAAAACACTTGGGGACATGATGATCAGCTGCGCGAATTGATTGTTCATTATTTTCTCATTGAACGTTTGTTTGATTTCCCCGCAGGTGTTCGACAACTACTACATCTTTCGGCAGCAGTCCAAGATCCACAAACGTTCGATAACCGATTACCTGGCACTAGCTAATGACCCCAAGGTGAGTGTTATTTTTTCTTTCAGCTCTTATATTTTTCTCGCGCTAATGACAGTCAAACGAGGTTCTGCGGTTTTCACGCTGTTCCACGGGGAAAGGAAGTTTCCGTAATCATCTGCGTCACCTTGGGCTTGTCTCATTTGATGACGCGGAAGTTGAGTCAGTACTTCGTTCGAGAGATGAGTTGCTCAAAACGGTCATTAATTCTCGTCTCATGGTAGTAGGTCTTCGTTTGTGGGGCTGGTTTAGCGCGTTACCGGGTTCATTTCCGTCACGAAGGAAGCTCCCGACTGAGTTAACACTTCCCTGTTTTAAATGCGATTTAAAGGTGACCGTGTTGGATCTGTGAATGCCTCTCTTCAAAATTCAAAAATATTATTTTCAGGTCATGTGACAGTGTTCCCCAACCACCAGCAAATTTCCATAATTTTTTTGCTGACCGGCAGAGTTTCAAAATATTCTTGCCGAATAAAAAAAAGAAAGACATTTTAATCGGCGTGTTTCTTTTCTTTTTTAAATCACATTGAGAACCAATGAAGCAGGCATAGTGGAATATCTTTAAAAATTGGAAATGTGGGCTTGAAAAAAGGTTTCTTAGAATGAAAAGCTAGAATAATTCATTTCAGCAGGAGAAAACTTGTCTAAACTCTGAAGCGTTCTTAGGAGAAAAGTCAACTTTCATTTTTCATCAGATAACTTCAACTGCCATCGTCTTTATTAAATGTCAGTTTAAGCTAACAGTCTTTGCTACCTCTGATAAATGTATTGTGCTGAAGAAAATTTCCTGCCGATCAGCAAAAAACTTCTGCAGACCGGCCCTGGTCTGCAGAACACTGCTCTATAGACTTACTGCAAGTAGTGAACTGACAAATCTTGGTCAAATGCTTTGATTTTGCACGTCGCAAAATTTCTAAAGCTATGGTTGGAAGAGCCATGAACTGTTTTTACAATACTATCTTGAGAATAATAGCCAATATCTCACGTGTGAAATTAATTTCCTTCATCAACAATTCGATAAATTATGACACAGAACTGCGACTTATTTTGAGGTGAATCTTGGCAAAATATTTGTTTGAGGTCGGATTATTTTGAATCCACCGACAATTCGGATGCGGCACTTATTTCCGAAGACAGAGTCCGAAATAAAATGTTGAATTTAGTGGCTAGGTAAAACATTGTTTCATGGTAGAAAGGGGTTCGAATTGCCGTGTACCGAAAAACAATTCGGCTTCCTTATCTTACGGCTCGCGCGTTAATTTCAGGTAACCACTCATTCAACGCGTACGGTTTTTTTTACCTCGCACGAAAAGATGGAAAGAATGTTCCTTGGCCCAATATCAGAAGAAAAACGAGGTCAGGCGTATTCAAGGTGTTCCGTGCGAGTCGTAACTCGCAGACGTGGATGTCGTGCTTGTGTGTGGCGCTAAAATTTATTCCCAGTTCCCACAGATTATGTTTATACTCTAACCGTCTGCGAGCCAGTGATTTCTTTCTCACTGCCTTGTGGATTTTCATTAGCTGGGCTTGGCAATGGAAGGCCCATTGCCGGCTATGGTTCTCGCGTGTTTGGTCGGAAGGAAAACAACCAGATTCGTGTTTCAGTGGGTCTCTGGAGTCTAGATGAGATTAATGGAGTAGAGTCGTTTTCATCTTCCCTGCGGCGCATCTCTCCGGTTGGGACTCTAGCAATCTTGTTAGTCTTGTGACAAAAGAGAAACGTCTTGTAATACACGGAGGAGTAAAGCGAGGCTGTGGAATTTTATGTCAAAGAAACCGTAATTTTTGCATGAATCTAACGTTCGCAGTACATATTGGACAGTACTGTACTTCCTTCTGGAAGCTGCAAGCGTCTCTTATTTTCTTGTGCGAATTTAATGTTTCAATGCGCCTCTTCTGCTTTGATGGGCAATTTTAACTCGTGTCACCAAAGATATTCTCAAATGTTTGAAATACACTAGTTTCTAGGTGGTGAGTTCTGGTTTTGTGTCTTTGCATTGCAACTCATATGGCATCATGTGTGATGAACTGGTCAACACTCATCTGTCCCAGTTTACTTTTGCTGCATCTGTGTTACCGTATTGATAAAAATGTGTACGAACTCCTTTTTAATTATTCTACTCATTGTCTGACTTCTTGTCCTGTGGTGTGGGAAATACTGCATTTTATCGAATAGCACCCTGAAGTAAGATATGCACCATACTTCTTGTGAGGAATTTGTCCAAAAACCTATCCCCATGTGAGACCCACACCCTCATTCTTTTCGTTCTGAAAATAATTTGTGGAATCTCTTGTGTATAGATCAATTTTCCCCCATCGATATTTTATCTTTTCTGTTTTTCTTGTCTGCAGGAGCAGTTGAAATGTGCTGGCAATGTATGGCAGCTTCCTCGGGCAGATGAATATTTTCCTCTTGCTTTGCTTCCCGTTGCATCTCTGACTGATTTATTCATACAATTGTTGGACTTATTGGATAGTACTTCCTTCTTGAAGCTGCAAGTGCCTCTCATTTTCTGGTGCGAATTCCATTTTTTAATGCGCCTTTTCTGCTTTGATGGACAATTTCAACACTTGTCACCAAATATATTCTCATATTTTTGAAATAAATTAGTTTCAGGTGGTGAGTTCTGGTTTTGTGTTTTTGCATGGCAACTCATGTGGTATCATTTTTTTTCATACAATGGGGATTTTTTCATACACGTGCTTGAACCCTTATTTCCAATGGATAAGGAGACTTGGCGCCACACCTTTCCTCTTTATAATTTTTGCTCAGATGCACTCGCATTTGACGCGCACTGGTTTTGGGAATTTTTTCATTTTTTCGAAAAATGTATCTCCGGGTACCAAGCGTACCCTATTTTCTGCCTCGTTTTCTGGAAAAAAGGTGCGCATGGTACTCAGGTAAATATGGTAACATTCACAGACTAATCTCTGAAAAAAAAGGAGTACCTTCATTTACGTATATCGATCTCGCTTTAGAGAATAATCTCGTACAAGCTTAATTTTTTTTGTTCACGTCTACAACTCAGAAGTAAACCTTTGGAACCAAGAAGACTTTTTTTTCGACAGAAAGTCAACTATATTTTGTACGAACATCGGAAGAGTTGACGTAGCATAACACCCTGCTTACACATAACTTGCCCAGTCTAACAAACAACCTTATCTACTTCGGATGTGGGTTAGCAATATTGTACATGAACAAATGTAAATGCAAAAGCACTGCAGGAGCAGCGTAAATGATGATTTTTTTTTAGCGAGTGAAAGTACGATATCAAGAACTAAAAAAGCGGATATATTTCAAGTGCTTTCATTTTAATGCGTCGGCTTGCTCTATAAGTTTAGAGCCTTCGTTGCAATGTCATGCTTCAAGTCTATGGCGTTGTTACCTTACCCTGCTTTATCTGTCGGCGGATGTTGCTTTTGAAGATACTGTACAGTAAAGCGTTTGTTGCCAAGAGCCGCCTGAAGCCTGACGTTTACTGCCGAAGTGCGGTCGGCGCATGTGCGGCGCGTGGCGATTGAAGGCTCTCGGCGCGACTTTCATTGTCACGTTCGGCTCGTGCTGTTTCGCCAGGAGAAAAAAAATATATGGTTCCCTAGAAGAAACAAAGAAAGAAAAGTTATGGTTCCTTGGAAGAAAAAAAAAACAAAGAAAGAAAAGCGAACCAACGAGAAATTCCCTCGATACGGGGCTCTTACACAATTTTCAAATGCACGCCTCGAATTTACGTACCCTCGCGAGTGAACGTCGAGGAATCTTGCTGAATTTTGAATCATTGAATGTGGAGTTGAAACCTCGTGCTTTCTGCCGGGTTGGAAACTTTTTTTGTTGCTGTGTGAAGATTTGCGATGTAGTTTTTCTTTTGTTTTTGTTGGAACCACGCGGTTTTTATCGCCTCTGCAACGTGACGAATGGAGAACTTCCTGTTCGCGCACGTCCTGAAGATTTCCACGCGTCAATGGTAACCATTCGAGATCCATCTGGAGTTCTTGATCGTAATGTTTACATTCAGTTCAGTCCTCGGGACTTCTGGTTTTCCAAATGTTTCCCTGATGCCGATCCGTAGTTTATTTTATTGCCCATAATTCTGAGCGATTGACTTTGATCGTGATGTAAAGTTATAAATAATATGCATTTGTTTCTTTAGAGACACTGTATCTGAATCATTAATTATCTTGCATTGATCTGTGACTATAAACATTTTGGAAAATCTTTAAAGTAAGCCAAAGCTGAATCTGAACTAATGACTGGATGAATCTGCAGCAACTGAACAGCTCACAGTAAATAAACAGTCATAACTTTCTCATGGAAAATCTGCACCGCTTTGACCTACATCTGCATCCATTCCTGTGCCAATTCAGGACGTTGCTGAGCCACCTAGGTTTATCCGTCCTTTTGATTCCCAACGTATATGTAGCAAATACAGTATTTTAGCCAGTAATTTTTATTCGCTGATTCAAATTTAAATGCGTGAAATACGCAGAACCAAAACTTCGATTTTTCCCCGTTGAGATTGTTTCCATCGATTCGTTTTTCGGAAACCGCTCTTGAAGGATATTAAGATACTGTATGATCCAAATATATCCCGGTTCAACAATTTTTGTTGATGTGAAATTTACTCTCACATGACCCTGCGTAATGAATTTAACAATTCAGATGTATGGAACACGTTGATCACTTCCCGCAGAAGCTTGCTGAAGAAAAATTTCGATTCTAGCCCGTCTAAATTCCGGTACTAGATTCAGTACAGTGATAAGAAAAACTCACAAACCCTGTTTCTGTGAATATTTTGACTTGGAAGTACAGTACTGTACTAACATGCGCTCAGTATAATTTAGGATTTACGATGATCTCCGTTTCAAACGCTTCGAGCTTGCGGTTAAAATGCGTAAGAAAATATTCTTGCGGGAATAAAATTGAATCAAGTTCCGAGTTTTTTTTTTTCGTCACTATGTTTCTATTCTTTTTCTCATCGAAGAAAGAGCGAAGGATGGATGACGAATCTCAGCTGTTATTCTTCGTAGCTGTGAGAATGTGCTGTTCTCCCTTATTTGGTGGCGTGGATTGCGTGCGGACTCCCGCGGTACTCCCTAATTTCCTTTCGCATTTTTTATAGTTTTTTTTTTCGTAGTTGTGATAAAGATATCTGAAGATTCATATCTTTTTTATTTTTAACTTCCATCGAATTTTTGTGTAGTACTGACGAACCATTCTTATTTGGTTCACGAGGGTTAATCAACAAGTTGTGTAAGCGATTGTGCACGGGTTGTTCTTGTACTGGTCGGACCGACGCGTGGTGACGGATGAGACCGGATGACGTAGGCGGATTTTGTCACAGGCATCTCGGTTGAGTAAAAGCTAGGAAAATCCGAGGTCAGCTGCTCCCACGTGGACGTGTCGTAGTAGTACTGTACTGGGCTTTTGCACTCAAGTACTCCCCATGTCCTTCTTGCTTGCCATTGAAAGAAAATCACGCCATCGCTAGAATAAGAAAAGTATCCCGTTGTTGTATCTTGATTGTATGAATAGTGCGCAGGGATGAAAAATCACACCTATAACCGCAGTCGCCATATTGACAAACCCGATTCTTGTCTCTCGCATCTGAATATTTCGAGTGCCATTCTACGGACTGGCTCGGAATGATGGAATGCCCTGGGGCTGTCAGTGATTATCATCGATAACGTTAACAAATCACGTGTTTTCTGTCTTGTGAAAGTCTTGCTTGCATAGGACAAAGAGTTTCTGCTTGTTGATTTGGGCCTTCAAGAAACAATTACGCGTTTGCACCACGCAAGTACTCCTGATGTCCTTCTTGCTTGCCATGGAGCAGAACCAGAAACACATTTCGTTGTTCTTTCTTGAATTTATTGTACGAATATGTACATTGTTGAAAAATTACACCTAATCGCTATGTTGACCAACCCGATTCTTGTCTCGCATCTAAATGTTATTTTAAATGTCTCTCCAGAGACTGGATTGGAATTATTGAATGCCCCGAGGCTGTCACTGATTATAATCGATAACGTTAACAAATCACGTGTTTTCTGTCTTGTGAAAGTCTTGCATGCATATGACCTAGAGTTTCTGCTTGTTGATTTGGTCGTTCAAGAAACAATTGCGCTTTTGTACCACTCAAGTACTCCTGATGTCCTTCTTGCTGGCCATTAAAGGAAAATCATGCCATCGAACCGAAAAAAATCCCGTGGTTGTATCTTGGTTTTACGAATAGTGCGCATTGATGAAAAATTACACATAACCGCAATCGTTACTGACGAATCCCGATTCTTGCTGGATGATATTTTCAGTGCCATTCTAGGAACTGGCTCGGAATAATTAAATGCCCTCGGGTTGTCTGTGATTATCATCGATAACGTCAACAAATCACGCGTTTTCTGTCTGGTGAAAGTCTTGCATGAATGGGGCCAAAAAGTTTCCGCTCGTTGATTTGGGCGTTTAAGAAACAATTATAAACTGCGTGGGTTGAGTCGTTCGCGTTTTTCGGTGCTGTAAAAGGAGATCCTGTACGAGTAAATGTTACGACATACACTTGTTATGATTTGCATTTTTATGAGCACTTGCAGCAGCCGCATTTCTTGATGTAGATGAATACGTGATTGATCAA